CAGGCAGCAGGCACGGGGAGAGCGACCAGAGAGGGCTGCCCTGCGCGGGCTGCCGTCCCCACTGCCCAGCCGCGCTCCCGGCTCCTCTGCGGTTTGTCCTAGGGGAGAGGGGGATAAACTGGGGCACGAGGTTGAGGACAGAGCGATGGAGCCATTTATTTAACCCCTCAAAAGTGTTCATAGCCGATGTCCTCAGAGGACAGTTTCTGTTTGAAATGTGACAGTTGTTTATTAATTTACGATGCCTTGGATTTTTTGGGTCTGCACAGACAAATGGGCTGAAGGGTGTCCTGCTGTGTGCCGGTGCATAGACAACAGCAAGTGACAGTTGAACTCATCGAGGGTAAAAGATGTCCTGGCACTGCAGCTCAAAGCAGAGCAGCCCATTCAGAGAGATCTGTGTGTCTGCATCTTGCTGTGTGCTTGTATGTCCAGGTTTCTTGGCAGAAAGACCTGGCAAGCTAGAGTGGTCTCAACAGTGTCTTCAGTTTGGATGGTTGGAACTGATGTCTTTGTTACATTTGTCTAGTCAGCTTTTCTGCTTTCAGTGAGTTTTCATCAGAACAGACTTCTGATTTCCATGAACATCTGAACTAATGACAGTTTTGCCAAAGTTGTGCTGTGGAGTCAGGTTTCCATCCCTTATTTGTTCCTCTGTTTTTAGAAGAGGACAAAGTTAAGCTCTAGGAATTTATTAAAACTGTTTTCAGGTGCCTGTTGCTGGAAAGCAGTTTCCTCTGTGGATCCCCAGATAGGGGCATAAGGTCCCTGAGGCAAGGGATCCACTCTTGTGGCCATGTGGGATCACTGCTGGCTCAATCACAAGGAATAAACTGGAAAAGTGCCAGGTGTTCTGTACTGGTGTGGGAAGTGTCAGCTGCAGTTGCAGTACAGCTGCCATTTAAGATCATTTGTACAAGTTTTGGACAAAAGGTATAGTTCTGCATTCCTCCCACCTCCCTTGCCTGATGCTTGTGAGACTGCATCGTGAGCTAAACCAGGGACCTTAGCTCTCCCAAACCCAACCCACCAGAAGGGTTCCTGTGCCAAAGGGCTGAGTCCATAGACCTGGTGTTCTGCTTGGCCCAGCACACCACCGGGGGTGTTGGGTAGGGTTAGGACCACAGCACTGAACCTGTTGCCTTAATGCCAAATCAAACAGCCCAAACTTTGCTGTCCTGCGCAGGTCTGTGGTGGTTAGGCTCAGCTCAGGCCACTCACAGGCCTGCCCAAACCCCTGCTATTCCGACCCATCCTGGGCCTTGGAGATGCCTGGTCTCCTGTAGCCTCTCTGAAGGAAAGGCACAGTATCCCCGTGTCCTTGTGCTTGCCCCTTCTGTCAGCTTCTTGCTTCTGCAAGCACTGTTCTGGGGTGTGGTGGGGATCTTGCCTTTGTGCTCTGTCTTCATTGCCTGTGGGGAGCTGCTTCTCCAGGGCTCATTCTGGGGACCCAAGGTCACTGGGGCACACGGCCCTTGTGCCATAACCCTGCTCTGCTGGTCAGAGGTGCTGCGATGCTGGGGAGTGCTTGAGCTTTCCTGGAGCTTTCATGGAGCTCAGCTCTGCTTGGGTAACAGGACAGACTTCACTGGCCATCACTGTACATTGTCAGGCCTCACCACCATCCGTGAGCCCAGAACACACCCATACCTGTGAGGCTGGTGCAGAGCTACCCAGCCTTCAGGCAGCTGATGTTTCTGTGCCAGTGGGAACCCCTGTGAATCCTCTGCAGACATCTCTCTGGTCTCATTCACAAATAATGTGTATCCTGGACAAGGTCTATCATTTATTTTTTTTCACTGTGAGAGCTGTATATGGAGACAGAAGTGTTTATGGGATTTTTTTGGTTGTTTTTTAGTTTTGGTTTGTTTTTTTTCGGGGAGGGGGTTTGTTTTGTCTTGGGTTTTTTGCTTTGGTTTTTTTTTAAGGAGGCAATGTCCTTGAAACAGTAATTCCTGGAAGTTGTTCTGGTGTTGGCAAGTGAATTAGGTGATGCAGTAAGATACTAAATCTTGCTCCAGACTTTAGTTTGTCCTCAGAATAGTAATGATAGTGTGGTTTAATGTCTGTTGTGAAATATCTCCTAAAAAGCATGGATAACGATTAGCCATGTTCTTAGCCTGAGTCTCTGCTTGTGCCCAGTTTAGACTGGTGCAAGTGCCTGCTGCTGCCTTTGACCCTCCCTCCTGTAACTGCACCACGGCATGGAGAAAACAACACCTTTTGTCAGAGAACTCATTTTCTTTGTGGTGAAAAGCATGATGTGTCTGATAGCAATTCCCTGGCTTCATGCTTTTTTAAAACCAAAAACTTTTAAATCTGAACTTCATAAGCTTCTAGTGAAAAAATTACTCAGTTGCAGACAGGCTAGATATTTTAAATAAAACTTTGAATCAGTCTCATTTCTGCCTTCAACATTTACTGCTTCATGCTGTTGTGATGTAGAAAAAAGCATGCAGTCAGCAGAGCTGCTTGAGTGGTTGGGCTGTTGTGGAAGGGTGCTATGCTCTAGAATTTGGCTTTAAAATTCTGCTTCTGCAGACACAGACTGAATATCATCTTGATGCTGCTTTTGGGTGGATGCCAAGCTGAGCAGCAGTCCAAGTCAGCGGTAGGGAGGAGATGAGGACATTGTGCATCTTCACTATGAAGGAGCTACTGGTTGCTACAGAGCTGTCTGCCTGTCACATAGCAGTGGTACAGCAGAGGTGGCATCTGGAAGGGGCCCAGGGAAGTGTTGTGGTAGGTGATGGGGAAGGAGCTGGCAGGGCTGTTCCCCTGTGCTGCCCCTGTAGGCAGGGTGAGTGCAGTGATGGGGTAGGAGCTGGCTTGGTTGCTGCAACTGTGAGCAGTCTGACCTGGGCAGCCTGTGCTCCTTCTCAGGGCAACCTCCACAGACCCTGCAGCTCACAGAGCTTTCCAGCTGGTCATCTGACACCTGAGCAGTGGACTGCCAGGCCACGGAACACCCCAAAAGTGTTGCCAGTGAAGGGCAGAGGGAGACCACGATACGGGCGCAGTTGTGTGCGAAACCTGCAGCAGAATTTCCACTTGCTCTTCGGTGCTGTTATCTTTCTTTTTTTTTCTTTTTTGCTGCAATATTAGGCAAATATCCTCACATGAAAAAAGCAGTGGGTTTCATGCCAGGGCTTGATTCTTCTTTTCTCCCAGACTGGAACCACTGGGCTCATGCACTGCACTGCAGTGATGAGCCAAAATACTGTCAACAACTGCTGAAAAGCCCAGGGATGTGAATACACTTAACTATGATTTATATGATGCCGTCATTGGACCTATGATGGACGTAGCTGTTATAAAACAACCACCTTGCATGTGAAGAAAAAAAGTTAATTAAAAGTAATTAAAGGATAATGTGGTCTGTCCAGCATATGCACCAGCTGTGCATTAATTAAGCCATCAGCCAGGCAGGGGAAGAGTCGTCATCCCTCAAAAAGGAATTTGAGAAGTCAGCTTCCCCAGAATAAAACAATGTGCTGTTTTCTTCTACATTTTTCAAGAATGGGTATCTGCAAAAAGGCAGTAAAAATACAGACTCTACTGCAGATTCTGTGCAGTGTCAAGAGGGAGCCAAGCTGAGTAGTGGTGAAGCTGTGTTCCTTTGAGGACAGAGAATGGAGGTTAGCTGGATGTACACAAAAGTAATTTTTTTTACTATATACAAATGTTTCTGCTTTTCTTTCCTCCCCTGCAGGTCAGTGTTGACTGTTGCTTGTGAACAGACTGAAGTGCTGCTTTTTGACCCAATATCTTCAAAGCACATCAAAACTCTCTCTGAAGCTCATGAAGACTGTGTAAATAATATCAGGTAGGTTGGAAATTGTAAAGACCTCGTGTTTTGACTTACCGTAGATCCTTCTCTCATGACAGTGTCGTAAGTTTTTGTTATGTGCTGTCCTGGGGACAGTGGGCTTTGTGAAGCCATTGGGCTGCAGTTTGCTTTGTGCCATTATCCTTTTTGGTATTGGAGAAATGGAAAGGTTGGAAACAGGAGAAGGAGGAATCTGAAAGGGATCTTTGTGGTATAAAGTGCTGAGCAGGTGGCTTCGTTGCAGGAGGAGCTGCAGGTTGTGGTAGGGTAACAGTGTTAAGGAACCATCACCTGTTTTAACTGAAAGAGCTCTGAAGGAGTGTGGTAAATCAGAGCATAACCAGTGGTGTGGGACTCATGTTTGACCTGAAGGTCTGAGACTGCAGCAAGATCAGATAATTATATCAATTTAGGAGGAAATGCTTCCTTGGGAGGGTGGCGAAACCCTGGCCCAGGTTGCCCAGGGAGGCTGTGGCTGCACCATCCCTGGAAGTGTTGAAGGGTAGGTTGGATGGGGCTTGGAGCAGGTGTACCTGCCCATGCAGGCATTGGGAACTAGATGATCTTTAAGGTCCCTTCCAACTCAAACCAGTCTGTGATTCTATGATGAATATGTGTGGTATTTTGAATTGGAACAGTAATTTCCGTAGTTGGATGGACATTTCCAACAAAGATTGGCTGCTTCAAATGTCGGGCTGATGTAGAATTGCTGGGAAAGTGAAATGGCTTCTGCAGTTCCGCTTGCACGTTGTCTTTGTGGTTTAAATCCTGTGCTTCTCCGGATGAAGTGGTAAACAACAAGCACAGGAATCATCAGTGTTCTTGTCATGTAATGTTTCTCCTTTTAAGTTCTATTATTTGTAGCTTTTCTGGGTCTGAGGATACAGTTTCACACATGAACTTAAGACACTTCTTAATCTTGTGGACAATATCGCAGCTTCTGTACTCAGATTCTCAAATAAAATAAATAAATAAATAAATAAATAAATAAATAAAACAACCAAAGACCAAAATGAAAACAACCCAAAAGCCAAACTCAAACTAAGAAATGGAGAAGCAATCTAAGCATTTCCTCTCAAAAGAGCTGAAGAAATGTGGGGTGACAGGGTCTTCACATGTTTACGAGATATATTGATGTTTCTCACAAGCTGCCTGTCCTTTCTAGAAGAGACTGAAGTTCTGCATCAGTTGGATTTCTTTCAGAAGAGCTGAAGTAAAACCTGGAGCTCTCTGACACAAATGGAGGAAGGGATGTTGAGAACATGTGTTACTGTTAGGAGATACAGCTTTTCACATGTCTTGCATACCAGTGGTTGTTCTTTACCTGTGCTTAGGTTTTAGATGGAGCTGGGTGAGGAACAGAGCTGTGTTACCAAGATAGGAGAAGGCAAAGACAAAACGGATTTATTGAGATTTCTGTAAATCTCTAATTCAGTATCTGATCTTTACATTCAGACTGCTCTTGCCAGGGATTCAGGGGAGTGAGTGTGGATCGTGTTGGATGAGAAGCATTCTATGCAGGCTTCTCAACCCTGACCCGCAGGCTCCCTCTGTTGCTGCCAGGGGTGCTAGTCTTGACAATGTATCTCATTGCTTAGTTGAGAAAAGCTTTGAAACTTCTTTCCACTTTTTTCTCTTATTCATAGGTTCTCCTTTCTTTCCACCTTGGCTGTCTGTGAGGCTTAGTAAGTCCATTCTTGGTCCTTATATGTCTTTACTCTGCATAGTTTATTTTACATGAAAGTGCCAGTACTACCTCCAAGCAGATATAACTCTCAGATCTACTGTTAGTCAGCAGACTAAGGTACTTCCTTGCACTGTGTAGTAAACTTTCTGCTTTCCTTTGAAATCTTTCTTAAAGCTTTTATTTTGTCTTTATAGAGTAGTGGCACCTTTTCCACAGTTTACCTGCATGTTACCACTTTTTGCTGCTAGAAACTTGGTACAAGGAACTCAGCTGTATTCTGTAACACCTGGTTAATAGAGCATTACCTGGGGTACAGCTTCTGCTTAATGAGCAGGACTCCAGGCTCTATACCACTGCAGAATTCCTTGTAATAAGCAGCAAAGATAAATACTCTTACTGCTGTGTCCTGCCACAGGTGCCTCATATGTGTGTACGAGCAGGGAGGTGTGTAATGATCCTCTTCCAGTAGACTCCTGGTCGCTGGGCATTGGTGTATAGTTACCTGAAGCAGATGGTGTTTTCCACTGGAATTTGGTCAGGTTTTGAGCTTAAGCCTCTGCTGTGGCACAAATGTGTTTCAAGGAGTATTTAATAGTGTTTTTAAAATTTGCTAGCTTAGTTTGGGGCCCTCTAGTGGGTTTTTGTTGCTTCTTTTATGAGGTAGGAAGACAAGGAACAATTAATCTCTATAATCTCAGTCAGTTTTACATGCCTGAGTTGTATGCACTGTCAATTACCTGGTTTTTACACTAATCCTAGACTACCTGGTCATTTTCTATATGAAAGATGTTCAGCACCATTTGTATCTCCCTGCTTCTTCTGAAACCTGTTGTGATGGATGGAGCAGGGTTACCTGTAGCATCCACAATAGAGGCAAATGATGGTCTTATAGGGGCAAGATATGTACTCTGGTTTGCTTCTGCCCTTGGATTATTCCCATTGTGGCTGGTTTCCAGTTTTTCATTGGAATTGTTGCTATTTTTATATGATGTAGCCTGGTTCTAAGTCTAAAAGATAGGATGTTTCTAGAGGTGACTTACCACATGACTCTGTGGAGGTAGTTCTTGCCTTGGTGTTCTTGTGTAGCTACTTCTGGTGTTTTTCAGATAGGTTTTATTTTCCTTTTTTATGTCACATACAGATTTTTTCCTCAAATGTCTTCATCCAACATGAATTGCAAACATAAACCAGAAATTCTTTTGTCCTTCTAAAAACAAGGGCATGCATAAATTGCAGTGGAAATGGAGTATGATAAACTTTGTTCTCTGTAATGCGAACTAAATAGTTTTAACCAGTAATTTTCTCAGTGAACAAAATTTGTCTAAGTATGCCTTCAAACAAAGTCTTGTCTTCACTTGGTGTTTCTGAAAAATCTGGTGTTTTCTGCAGTAACATCTGGACTCAGTTCATTACCTAGCTATGCCTTTTTAGTGCTGAGTCAAGCCCTTCTATCCCTTTCTGCCTGATAGAGTGCTTTTATATCAGATATTGTTCTGTAGTCACCTGAAGGTTTTCAAGCTCCCTCATGCTCCTTCAGGCAGGGGTGATACATACATTGGATTTTTGGCTGAAGACCAGAGATTGTCTTGGTAGAGAATTACCACCTGAACAGGCTAAGTACTTCATCTGATCAGTGCAGTGATCCAACTAGTATGACCCATATTCTTTTACACTTCCTCATTTTCTCCTAGTATGGCATTAGTGAGATCTGTTAAGGGAACAGGGGCTCAGGACCTGCTGAGTGGGGGTCACACACGGTGTACATGGAGCACTGTGCATGGGATGCAGATTCACCATATGGATCTGCAGGTCTGTCACTGCCCTGTGCTATGCCGAGCAGTAGGCTTGCTTTTCTTGTAGTACTTTGAGTTAAACAGGATTTTGTGTTATATTGTGATTCAAACTCAAAGCCCCAAATGCACATCTGTATTGAAGGAATCCATGAACTTGGGTAGCCAGTGACACTTGGGCAGCAGCTGCTTCCAAAGATGATCTGAAATTCTCATCCTGGACAGTGCTCTGCCCTTGCATTGTGGGATACATACTTGCTTTAATGCCTGTGAAAGGCCCTCTGCCTGCTTCCTGAGCTGTGCTACGCAGGAAGGAAAGGCAGAAACATGGGGGCAAAAGCCCCCTGCCCTTTGGTAGAGGCTGTTGAGGCTGTGCAGGTGGCACAAAGCCTTCCTGGCTGCAGGAGGTCTGAGAAGCTCGTGGCTCGGCAGCTGCAGCAGGCAGTGCTCCTGGGGCACCATGGAGCTGGATAGGCTCCAAGCAAAGGATGGGCAAAGGTGGAATGAAGTTCAGGGCCGAGGGAAATGTGCAAACAGTGGCAGTATTCAGATGTACATCCTAGTACCTGTTTCCCAGATAGCAGTGCCCTGTCCAGTGCCAGTAAAGCAGGACTGCATTGCATAGATAATCCATGGGATTAAACCTCTGGAGCAGCAGTGTGTCTGTTGGTCTTGAAGCTGGGGCCAACTCCAAGCAACAGAGGTCTGGTTGGGAAGAGGTCCTAGAGATCTGTCATCTGTAGGAACCTTCTGGTGACTGCAGGGCTTGGGGTGTCCTCATCACCTCCTAACAGGGCCGTGCTGTGCCTCCAGCACTAGTGAATCTATAGGATCCCAGAATCCACCCCTGGAGGCTTTGCCTTTGCTGGGGGTCAGGATCTGGGGGTCAGGATCTGGGGAGAGCTGTCTGTAGGTGTGAAGCAGAGCATTGTCCCCATGGGGGCATGGGCTTCTGTGTGAGCATTTCCACTGGTTCTTTGGTGGTTGTGTGGTGTTTGTGATTCATTAAAAGAAACAAAGTACCAAAAAACTTCTGCTCTGCTCCTGCAGTGTAGGAGCTACTACAGAGGTACTGCTGGTTCATATCCCAGCAGGACTGTTTTAAATGAAACTGGTTTATTGGCAAATGTTTTGCTGTATGTTGATTTTTATAATTTTTTTTATGGACACTCTGTTTATTTCTGTGCCACCTTAAATTCCAGTTTAAGAATATTTAAGTTAGGAAAGGCACTAAGCAGCCACAGAATGTCTGTCCCATTTTCAGGTTTCTAGATAATCGGCTGTTTGCAACTTGCTCTGATGACACTACAATAGCACTTTGGGATCTGAGAAAGCTGAACACAAAAGTGTGCACTCTACATGGTCACACCAGCTGGGTTAAGAACATCGAGTATGATACCAACACAAGGTTACTAGTAACGTCGGGGTTCGATGGAAGACCCATATTCTTTTACACTTCCTCATTTTCTCCTAGTATGGCATTAGTGAGATCTGTTAAGGGAACAGGGGCTCAGGACCTGCTGAGTGGGGGTCACACACGGTGTACATGGAGCACTGTGCATGGGATGCAGATTCACCATATGGATCTGCAGGTCTGTCACTGCCCTGTGCTATGCCGAGCAGTAGGCTTGCTTTTCTTGTAGTACTTTGAGTTAAACAGGATTTTGTGTTATATTGTGATTCAAACTCAAAGCCCCAAATGCACATCTGTATTGAAGGAATCAATGAACTTGGGCATTGTGGGATACATACTTGCTTTAATGCCTGTGAAAGGCCCTCTGCCTGCTTCCTGAGCTGTGCTACGCAGGAAGGAAAGGCAGAAACATGGGGGCAAAAGCCCCCTGCCCTTTGGTAGAGGCTGGTGA